GTTGTTATGTCGTGGATTTTGAGTTCCATGACCAAAGATCTTTTCCTTGGTCAAGTGTTCTCTAAAGAATCTGCCAAGGTTTGGGATGAGCTAAAAGAGACATACGATAAAGTGGATGGTTCTGTTACCTTTAACCTTTATCAGAAAATAAATTCATTAAGTCAAGGTGGCATGTCTGTTTCCGAGTACTATCACAAACTTAATTCTATGTGGAGACAATTTGATGCTTTGGTAAAACTTCCCTCATGTACCTGTAATGCCTCCCGTGAGTTCCTGGAACACAGTCAACTCATAAAGCTAATGCAATTCCTAATAGGTCTCGATGATGTGTATCAACCGATTAGAAGCAATATCCTTACTAGGGATCCCTTGCCCTCTGTAAAAACCGCATTCTCTTTTGTTTCAAGAGAAGAATCACACAGAGGTGTAAATCTGTCTCAAACTAGAACTAAGACTCAGAATAGTGCTTTTTTTAAGCAAAACTGTTGAAAACAAAAGGAAAACTGTAAAATTTTCAAATCTTATTTGCAAACATTGTGGTATGACTGGTCACACAATCGAAAGATGTTTTAAACTGATAGGATTTCTCAAGGATTTCCAAAATCGTAATAGACCTCAAAATCAAAGTTTTAGACCCCCCGTTGGAAATAATGTTGTTTCTGATTCTCTTTCTCCAAAAAAGGCTAGTTCTAGCTCCACCTTCACCTTTTCCGAGGAACAAATTGCAAAAATTCTAAATTTGATTGATCAGAAAGAAGGAGCCATTGCAAATATGGCAGGTATGTCTCGTTCTGTTAAAACTGGGTGGATAATAGACTCTGGTGCGAACCAACATATGACTCATAACACCAATTTTTTAGAAAATCTGGTGGATGTTTCTGACCTTGATATCAGGGTCAGTCATCCAAATGGGACTAAGGCTCAGATAAATAAAACAGGTTATTTTAAATTAACCAACAATGTCACTTTATTTGATGTCTTAGTCGTCCCAGACTTTAATGTGAATCTATTATCTGTACATAAACTTGCTAAGGATAACAAGGTGTTTGTAAGTTTTGATGAGTCGAAATGCTACATCCAGGATTCTCCTCGAAAGAGTGTCGTAGGGACTGGTAGCCAGGAGGATGGTCTCTATTTCTTTGATAAAAATCTTAATTGTAAGACTTCCTGTTTCCAAACTATAAAAATATGTCTTGTCTGGTTTCCACTCAACTGTGGCACAGTAGACTTGGTCATCCTTCACATCAAGTCTTGAGCGTGCTTAAGAGTCATCTCAATATTGCTAATGAGGGTAGTGGACCATGTGAAATTTGCCATAAGGCAAAACAAACTAGAGAAAAATTTGATTTAAGTGTTCACAAATCAAAAAACCTAGGTGAGTTAGTTGACCTTGATGTCTGGGGTCCTTACCATATACAGAGTAGAGAAGGATATAAATATTTTTTGACCATCGTTGATGATTACACTAGGGCGGTTTGGGTGTTTTTGTTGAAAGGAAAACATGAGGTTTGTGAAAACATCATAACTTTTTACAATCTGGTCAGTACTCAATTTGGTAAAACTGTTAAGGTTTTTAGGAGTGACAATGGCACAGAATTTTCAAGTCAAAAGTTAAATGATTTTTTTTAAGATAAAGGAATAATTCATCAGACCTCATGTGTTTACACTTCCCAACAGAATGGGGTTGTTGAACGTAAACATCGCCATTTACTTAATGTAGCTAGATCTCTTATGTTTCAGGGAGGGATCCCTCTTAACACGTGGAATGAATGCATTCTTACAGCTACTTATCTCATTAATAGAACCTCTTCCTCTGTTTTAAACGGTAAGTGTCCCTACGAGCTCATCTATGGTTTTCAACCAGTTCTCACTCATCTTAGAAACTTCGGATGTTTGTGCTTTACTGTGTTACCAAATATTTCTGATAAGTTTTCTCCAAAGTCAGAAAAATGTGTTTTATTGGGTTATGCCAATTCGAAAAAAGGATACAAACTTTATAGTTTGGATTCCAAGAAATTCTTTCACGCGATGTGAAATTTTATGAAAACATTTTTCCATTTAAAATGAAGTCTGATAGTTGAGTGAATCTAAGAATAAAGACCTTGATCAATTGAATTTTTTTGACTCTGGAAATGAATTGTCTGATAAATTTGGTGTTGCTTTGCCCAATGATGAGAATGGAGACGTTTATAATACTGAATCTGCTCATAATATTTCTTCAGACCCGAATAATAGAGATATGCTAGGTGGCCAAACTAGTTCTGTCAATAGGAGGCCTCTAGGCAGCTTTGAAAGTCAACATAGACTTAATTCTAGTAATGAAGATAATCTAGGACGAGCTACCAGTTGGCAACCATTGAATGGTTCTGACTCAGCCGCTAGCACTAATCAAGAGGTTGCTAGTCAGCCTGAAGAAATAGACAGAAGTAGTAATGATCCTTCTCGTGATTTCGTCTTCTCTGAGGGAACTCATAATCCGTCATCTAGTATGTTGCAAATTGCTAGAAAATCTTCTAGACCATCTGTTTTACCTAAATTTTTTGATGATTTTGTGGTTGAAGGGAAGGTAAAATATGGAATAGGAAAAGTGGTTAACTATTCGTGTCTTTCCATTGATAATTTTTGTTTTGTTTCGAATCTGAATAAATCAAGTGAACCTAAAACCATTCAAGAAGCTTATAAAGATTTGAATTGGGTTAATGCTATGAATGACGAGATGGAAACCTTACATAGGAATGGGACTTGGGTCATAACTGATTTGCCTCCTGGTAGAAAAGCAATAGGCTGTAAATGGATATACAAGATAAAATATAAATCTATTGGTGAAATTGAGAGATTTAAGGCCCGACTTGTAGCCAAAGGCTATAGTCAAAGAGAAGGTCTAGACTATGAGGAAACTTTCTCTTCAGTTGTGAAAATGATTACTGTTCGTTGTATCATAGCTTTAGTTGTGCAGTTTAAATGGAGTCTGTTTCAGTTAGATGTGAATAATGTTTTTTATATGGTGATTTGATTGAAGAAGTTTATATGTCTTTACCTGAGGGATATTGTAGTCCTAATGATAAACGAGTATGCAAACTTGTTAAATCCCTATATGGTTTAAAACAGGCTCCGAGACAATGGTATGCAAAACTGTCTTCGTGTTTACTTGATAATGGGTTCGTTCAAAGCATAAATGATTAATCTTTGTTTACAAAAATCTGTTAATAATGTTTTCATAATTTGGCTTGTTTATGTTGATGATATAGTGATAACTGGAAATAATAATCAGGAAATAAACAATGTTAAAGAATGTCTTAAGAGTAAGTTTCTCATTAAGGATTTGGGAAAGTTAAATTTTTTTCTTGGTATTGAGATCTTAGATTGTGCAAATGGATTGTGTATGACCCAAAGAAAGTATTGTCTTGAATTGCTTCATGAATTTGGTTATCTTGGTTGTAAACCTTGCAACACACCTATGGACATGAATTTGATTGTAATTGACTCTAGTAGCTCAAAAGATCCTTATCTGTCTGATCATACTGGTTTTCAAAGATTAATTGGAAAACTCATTTATCGTTTAGCAACTAGACCTGACATTGCATTTGCTGTTCATTGTTTAAGTTAATTCTTGCATGCTCCAAGGCAATCTCATTTAAATCTTGCTCTTAGAATTCTTAGATACTTGAAATTGTCTCCTCGCAAAGGAGTTAGCTTCATCAGGCCTAATTTTTTTTCGCTTAGTGCTTACGTTGATTCCGACTGGGTAAGTGTCTTTCCTCCAGAAGGTCTGTTATTGGTTTTTGTATATTTCTTGGTAATTCTATGCTTTCATGGAAAAGCAAGAAACAAAGCACAGTTTCACGCTCTTCTGCTGAATCCGAGTACAGGGCGATCTGTTACTTGTGAAATTATTTGGATTCTTAAAATCATAGTAGATTTGAACATAAAGAATTTACTTCCTGTTAGCTTATTTTGTGATAACAAGTCTGCAATTCAAATTGCAAACATTCTTGTCTTTCATGAGAGAACAAAGCACATAGAAACTGATGTTCATCAAATTCATGAAAACATCAATAAAGGAATAATAAAAGTTGTTAAAATAATTTCTTCTGAGCAACCAGCTGATATTTTCACAAAATCTCTTGGTATAACACATCATAATTTTCTTTGTTCAAAACTCAAAATGATTGATTTATTCAAAAGTCAAGATTGAGGGAGGGTGTTAAAATATGATATCCTATTAAATTGTCAATCTTAACTTTTGTATGTTTGTTGGTTGTTTTGTATTGTTTTGCAAGGAATATAAACATAAGGGGTAAAAATGTTAAAATCAAGAAAGATTAAGGATTGGAGGACTACGCCTCACATTTCTTGGAACATCAAGGGTAGCGGAAGAAATATGTTTAAAATCAGGGAGCTTTTTGCAATTATTGGACAGACTATATAAACTTTATACCCAGTTATCAAAGAATCATCTCAATTCATTTTTGTAATTTCATTTGAAAAGTTTCGTCAGTTTCTCTCTTTAGATTTAGCTTACGTTTCTTATAGATCTTAGTTATCTTAGCTAAGATACATAGTTTTCTTGTAAGTTTTCATCTGTAAGTTTTCTTCTATCAATACATGGTGGTTTGGTTATAGATTTCTATACAACTTTAATTTGTTTTAAAAGTAAATATCTAGTTTTTTTTTAAATTTTTTTATTATTAATTATAAGATGGAGAAACTAATTAATTACTTTTTCTATTATTAAAGGTGAATTTTTTTTAATTAATTAAAAATATAATAATTATACAGGTTTAAAACTATATGCTTTTTTTAATTAGAAATATTTATTTTAATAGGAAGAAAGTATGTTTTTATGATCAATAAAAGAGGGTGGCTTGAAAGAATAGGTCAATTTTTGTGTCATCATCCTTACCCATAACTTAAACATTAAATTAATACTAAAAAAGTCAAACATTAACCAAACTATTTGTGTATAAATAACCATTCTGGTTTCTACAAACTTCAACACCAAATACCATCGACCATTCACAAATCTATCTATTTACATTGCAAGATGGCATCAACATGTGAGCAAGTTGAGCAAGGTATTATTCATATATTTTTCTGTCAAAACGAAATCTATATGCGTGTATATAGATGTATATATGCATATATATACGTATGTATGTTTGTATGTTTGTATGCATATATATACGTATGTATGTTTGTACGTATGTATGTTTGTATTATATATGCTCTATAACTTAGTCTTATCATGTGTTTGTAGGCAAAACTTCATGGCCGGAGCTAGTTGGAGAGACAGGAGAGTGTGCCGCAACCATAATAAAGAATGAAAATCCATTGGTTACTACACGAATTATAGCAGTAGGAACCATCATTCCTATGATTTATATTTGTGATAGGGTTCTTATATGGATAAATGATGAGAGGATTACCGTAAGCACCCCTACGATTGGGTGACGGTATCAAGGTTGAGATGTGGTTACAAAGCGACGTAGTTTGGTTCATTGTGTTGGCTATTAAAATAAAGACAAATGCTTGTACTTGTATAACAAGTTGATATTATAATTTAAATAAAATCATGATCATCTTTCATCACTCCGATTACAAGAAATATTGTATTTAAATGTAATTAGTTGACGATATCATCTCCATTAACATATGAAATTTGTACCATCAATTATCTTCAAAAAATTAAAACTCGAATGTCTGTGAGGTGACATTCTCTTTATGTATGTTCACCACAGATGTTTGGGACAAGATTTTCTATTTAATAAACTAGCACTGAAATTAACCAACAAACTATTGTCACGTTGATGACGTCAGATACCTCAATAGAATTTCTACAAAATACTGAAATATAGAGACAATGTTCCACCACTATAGCATATTAGGGTATGGGGAAATAGAAAATGACTACATGAATTCAGTGCAAATCAGATTTAGAACAAATATAGAACTAAGGACAAATCAATAATGAAATAAAATCAATTTAAAGCAAACTTATAATCTAGGATAAATAAGGCAAATCAATAATGAATTTAAAGCAAAACAATACAAATAAAAAAACTATAACTAATAATATGCTTGAAACATACGAAATATAGAAGAGGATGGACGATTCCTCACGAATGGTGGTCGAAGAAAAACTTATTATTTAGAGAAGTTTTATTAAAATTTCAATTTAGTCTTTCATTTTCAGAATACCCTTGTATTCTTTTGAAATAAAATGCTTATATAAAATGTGGACAATATTCGACATGAATCTACTTCACATTTATTAGTGGGTGACGTGTGCACGGACAAATTATTTAATATAACATTCTCTAGTTCCATTCTTCAAGAACAAGATCACCAAACCCTTGGTATGTACTTAATATCTCCTCCTGATCTTTTCCCTGTTGGCCCTTGATTTGTTTTTTTTTTCAAAATCATTCGCTAATTACGATAGAAGTGTTTGAACATGAACACCCATTGAGTCTTATCGATCTGGAGCTCGAATATTCCAAAATTCAAGAAGATTATGATGATGAATGATGAAACGGATGGTGATATGATTACAACAGAGGACTTGAAATGTACATGTGATCGTTGCGGCCAAGAAATCAATGGGCACCACAGGTATTACTATAAGTGTAGTGATTCATGTAACTACTCAATTCACAAATTTTGTGGCGACCTCCCAACAACATTAAAACACACGTCCCACAATGATCATATTCTTACCTTTTTACAGAGAAAAATACATTGGTATTGTGATGCATGTGGAAAGCAACATAAGCGTCGAGAAATAAGTTATCAATGTCCTCCATGTGAATTTGATGTTGATATAAGTTGTGCTTTGACGGCGGATAAAAAGACAATCCACCACCCGACTCACAAACACCCGTTACTTCAAATCACTATACCAATAATATGCGAGTGTAGTGCTTGTGGGTAAAAGCATCAGGGGATATTTTATCATTGTATCATGTGTTCTAACTTCTTTATCCATACGGATTGTTTTCTTTTGCCAAAAAAGCTGCTAATTCAACATGCCATGCATGATGACTTCTCTCGTAAACATCCACTTGCCATTGCATATGCCTTCCCAACAGCAGTTTAAGAAGCCAAATTTGATCCTAGGTGTAGGGTATGCGGAGGCTTTTTTGATAACGAGAATCTATGGATTTATAAATGCGACAAGTGCAAATACTATGCCCATCTAGATTGTGCAACGGCAAGAGGGGAACCATTCGTGTCCATCTTCTCACCTGCCGGTAAATTTCTCAGCTATTTTTATGTTTGCTTTCATTTTGTGGATTTTCATTGAATATTTAGTTACTGAATTTTATATTGTTCATCAGATTTTGGCAAAACCCATAAGAACTTTGCAGATGCCAACTATCCAGATCTTCTCTATTTCCCGTTACTTGATCAAACATAAAGCATACTAAAACATATGTTTTTCAAAAAAATATCATTCCCAATGAATACAACTTATGAGGGGACTCTACAACACATGAGTCATCAACACTCGCTCATTCTAGTTGGTACACAAGGTAATGAGATTACAAAGTCAGCCTCCTCAAAATCCAAACCGTTATCTTGTCATAACCCAATGAAGAAGATTGAACTACTATGTAATGGATGTTTGAGGTCAATCACAAACATGCCATTTTACAACTGTGCCAATGGAGATGAGTCATGCAACTTTGTTCTTCATGAGTTGTGCACCCGACTACCCAATCAAGTACCAAACCACCCAGGTCACCCTCAACATTCTCTTGTTCTCCTACCGATTCTCTCTCATAGGCTTTTGGGTGTGTTCAGGTGTGCTGTTTGCCGTTTATATTGCAACGAATTTGTCTATACTTGTCCTTAATGTGAGTGCTATGTAGATGTAAATTGCGCTTTCATACCTGATAAAATAGTACACCAAGCTCATCTGAATCATCTCATTTGGAGAGTTCAATCAAGGACGAGTAAAAACCGTTGTCGTTCATGTGCGAGAGATTTTGTTGAAAATGGATTTTCATTTAGTTATGGTACTTGTGAATTTGATTTGCATCCCGAGTGTGCTTTGTTATTATCGGAAACAATTAGACACAAATTTGATAAGCATCCCATGAAGCTGAGCTATTTCCCTATCGAGAATCATAAGTCTCAATATTTTTGTGAAGTTTGTGAAGTGGAATTTGATCCAGAGTATTGGTTTTATCATTGTTATGATTGTGTCCAATCTATACATTCTGCATGTGCTCCGTTAATACTTGAATGCAGAAGAGCTGCTAGAGCTGATCGTGTTCCTAAAAGGATTTGTGAGTTTTTGAATATAAAGTTTGGGGGCATTCATAACATTGAAGATCATCCACACAATGTGTCATTTGTTCAAGGGATTGAGAGCCAAGATGAGTGCGACGATTGTGGCTTTTCATTGCAGTACACTATGATCTTTAAGTGTTTACAATGTAAGTATGTAATTCACTTTACGTGTTGTAAGAGTTTCAACAATTGGTGATTATATATGTTGGTTTCTTTTCCATTTGTTGGAATTGTATTTTGTACTTATAATGTGTGACATGTGCAAAATAATTTATAGAAAATTGAAATTAAGGCAAAAGTGGTAACTCTTATAATTATATATATATATATATATATATATATATAACATTAAAAGTTTTTAACAGAAGTCGACAACAATCTTGAAACCATATGCTAATTTAAGTTATCTAACTATGCTTGAGAACGGTGTTAAAAGTCATCTACAAATGTTTGACTAATGTTAGTTGTTTAATTAGAAGTCAAGTTCTAACTGAAATCTCATATAAGGTGACAAAATCACGATGTTAATTTTGTAACAAATTTAATTCAAATATCATTTGAAGTTATGAAAAAGAAATGTTCTATATATTTCAAGTGAAAATTAGAGGAGTGCGTAAGTTGTAGCAACAATAGTGGAAGTTCAAGGCGATGCATGAAGAACCACATCACCAAGCTAAGATAATGGATTTTTCCTCACAAAAAAAAAAAAAATTAATATCAAATGGGGTCGATGACCCACACATCAGATATTAAATTGATAAAAACAAATACTACACTTTATCGTAATATTCTGTAATACGTGAATTGTAATTAGGGGGGTGTATCAAACCTTGATAATAGTAACACCAAGACGACAGATAAATAACTACACTACTAAGTAGTATAATAGACATTCTCATATAAAAAGTAAAATACCAAGCAAGTTGAAACCCCATATAATAGATATTAAACTAAGAACATTAATATACTTGATTTAAACAAAAAAAAACCTAAGATTCAAGATATATATGTTAAACTAAAAACGTATACTACATTTTATCTTAAGCAAAAGGTCGACATCCGGGAAAATATGTTTGTTCCATTTTTAGTCATTTATTTTTGTAGTAATATCCCTCTTGCGACAACCACTAGGAGACAAACCCCATGAATCGACACAAAGACACCAATCCATCTTCTTATACACTTTACTTTGTTCAAATCTTTCAACTCTTCATCAATGTGCGACAACTAAAACTCAACCAATTCACCATTTGAGAATACTCAATTGTCTTTGTGCCACCTCATCACTTCAAGGTTTTACTTTTATAATTCTCATGGTTACACCACATCACCCTAAGGTTTTACTTATATATATATATATATATATATATATATATATATATATATATATAGATAGAAGGAAGATCAAATGTTAACCCTTCTTTTCATGTTAACCTTGTTAACTCTTTCAACCAATCAAATTTCAATATTAATGTAGGTTTATCCCTTGTTCTTTTTTTAATTCCAAGGGTGTTTTAGTCAAATGATGCATATGTAACTCCCAAACAATTAATAGGGAGTTACAATCAAAATTAAATCCCAAAAAATATTCTTTCATTTAATTAATATTTTTTTTAATATTCATCTTCCATGTTCATCATTGTATGAGTTCTAAATCGCATAATCATATTTGTTATCGATAAAGCTAATATGGATGAATGTAAAGGAAAAGAAATCGACAACACCGAGGAGATTACAATGGTTTATGAAGACAATCGGAGTTCGAGGTTGGGAAGTCATGAAATTAACCAAACCGGATGTCTTGGTAATATATGTATATTTTTTATTAGATTCGTATTAATCGAAATTATGTTCATTACAATGTGTTGTGTTTTTTATAGTTCATCGTGTAGTGAGAAACTTTTTCTTTAATCATAACATGTTTTCAAATACATAGCTTTTCATCTTTTCATACCATATTCATCGTATAAATGGATTGCAAATGATGAGCACCCAAATGATGGCATTTTCATCAAAACTTAAAAAATGTTCAGATAATGTGTACCTCATTTGGGTCTGTTTTGCATCAATATATCCACTAGATGAGGGTCGATGAATCCAGCTCCTCCAGTAACTATAATTTCAACAAATGCTACACATAATGTTGATCGTCACCCTTAAAGTTGGGGACAAGAGGAGTATAACTAGAGATGTAAACGAACTGAACCGATCCGAATGTACAGTGAACCGTTCATGAACAATTTCAAGTTGTAAGGTTAACACCAAAATGATGGTTATCCGTTCATGAACACATTCGGCTGGAAGTTCGTGTATGTTCGTTTATCTAATAAATGAACAGACATGATCAAGAGTCTCGTCGTTTATTGTGTTCATGAACTTAAGGTTCATTTTCCGTTCGCTTACGTTCGTTTACATATTAAATTTACTATACAATATTTTCTTTTATATACTTTGAATTCAAATAAATATTTGTTTGTGTTCGCTTATGTTCGTTCGTTCTTCGTTCGTGTTCACTCGTTCGTTCGATTACCTTTTTGAACGAACGCACATGCTCAACGACTGTTCGTGTTCGTTCACATAGTGTACGGCCCTACGCACACCCATCCAACTTAACACTCCCTTCCATGTGGCTGTTCATTCATCATCCATCCAACTTAAAACCAACATCAAGAATTCAAACAATTTCAGTGAGTCCTTGTAACGTCATTTGCAATTAGTATATTCTTAAGGTTCATTTTCCGTTCGTTTACATTCGTTTACGTATTAAATTTACTATACAATCTTTTCTTTTATATACTTTGAATTCAAATAAATATTTGTTTGTGTTCGCTTATGTTCGTTCGTTCTCTGTTCGTGTTCACTCGTTGGTTCGATTACTTTTTTGAACGAACGCACATGCTCAACGACTGTTCGTGTTCGTTCACATAGTTTACGGCCATACGCACACCCATCCAACACTCCCTTCCATGTGGTTGTTCATCATCATCCATCCAACTTAAAACCAACATCAAGAAATCAAACAATTTCAATGAGTCCTTGTAACGTCATTTGCAATTAGCATCTTCTAGTAGAAATATATCCTACAAATCAAGACCCATTGAAGTTATAACTGCAAAAAGCTTGGCATTAAGTATACGAGATGCATTCGGAGGTGGTTTTGCAGTAGCATATCTGTTTTCCATTTGTATCCATCTTCTTCGGATCCATTTTTCACACTACACAAGGCACAAGCCATCAACATGTTGATTGTTCATGTTTATCATTTGTTCATAGATGTCATATACACTTACTTAACCTTTTGTTCAATATCTGATCCCAAATATTTTTTATTCGTGAGCCATCTGTTGAAGCACCATGAGTCAGTATGTGCTTTCTTTATGGAAATAAACTTGCAATAATACAATCTGTAGTATTATTATTGAACTTGTTTACCACATTATATTTAGTATTGATATTCATTGATATTACAATATATGATTGTATCAGCAGGTGTTCCCATGCATACACTATCCGAACATGAACCGGAGTACGATGTAGAAGAATGTTCAAATGGAACCAAGTATTTCATCCCCAAGGTTGATGACGAGCTTAAACCAAAGATCAACGCATCGTTCATATCTATAAATGATGCGGAAAAAATGTACATGATGTACGCGGACAACGCTGGTTTTGATGTTCGTCTTCATGCCAAAAAAAACAAACAAGAACGGAGATATACAAACAAGATGGCTTGTATGTAATAGAGAGGGAACGCCGGATAAAAAGTTTTTTGATTCCATGGCTATTCAGTCTAGCGAGCGGAGATACCGTAATACGAACCTTAAACGGTGTGGATGTAAAGCTTGGATAAAAATCCATTTGACAAAGGATAGGTCCAGTTACGAGATATATGAGTTTGTCGAGGCACATAATCATGCGTTATTCAATACAGATGAAGTATACGAATTTCAAAATATTCTGAATAGCTCGAGTTACAAAGTCGGTGCGATTAGGGCTCACCGTATACAAACGACATTGAATGGTGGATTTGAGCACAATCAATGTTCTGAGATCGACTTTAAGAATTTTAAGAGAGATGCAGTTGCCTGTGTTGGGGAAAAGGACGCGAAGATATTGTCCCGGGTTATTTTTTCGAGTATAAGTGCAATGATCAGGAGTTGGGAGCCATTTTCTGGGCAGATGAGGTTGCTAGAATCAACTACAAAGAGTTTGGTGATGTGATTTCGTTCGACGGGACGTTCCGCACCAACAAGTAAGATTTTTAAGTTCAACCTTTTTGTTTTTTTATGTGTGTTACTCAACGGCATCATTTTATAACTTGAAATTTATATGGTAGGCATGCGATGATTTTTGTTCCATTTTTGGCGGTTGACAATCACAAAGCCTCCATTGTTGTCGGATCCGGATTAATAAGTGGTGAGACAATTGAAAACTTTACATGGGTTCTAAGAGCTTTCCTAAAATGCCATGAGAAGCAACCGGTTTTTGTGATTACGGATCAATGTTCGGCAATGAAGCAAGCTATTCCGTTGGTGTTTACCGAAGCCAAGCATCGTCTATGTATGTGGCACATCATGAAGAAAGTGCATTCCAAGGTATGTGCACTTTAATAAACATGTATATTTTTCACATGTAAATGTTGTTGTTTATAGGTTCATATTGTGATCGATACGTTCGCAGGTTAGTGTCGCCCTAAATCAAGATCCTATGTTCAGTCAAGTTATTAATAAGCTCGTATGGAACACACATATTGGCCCATCTGAATTCGAGACCAAGTGGCAAGAGATGATCGCGCAATACAATTTAGGTGGTGATCCGTGGTTTGTAGAAATGTATGACATCCGCGCATCATGGATTCCGACGTATTATAAGGACACACCGATGTCTGGTCTTATGAAAACAACATCAAGATCTGAGAGTTCGAATTCCTTTATTACATATACGAATCATATTGGTTTGATTTGGTTCAGTTCCTCAATAATTATGACATTGCTATAGAGAAACAAAGATACAGACAATCCATGCATGAAACAATTACGAGGACCACTTATCCTAAGTTGTTTACTCCTTTGCGTTTAGAAAGTCACACATCGAGTATATACAGTCGCAATGTGTTCTTCGACATCCAAAAGGAAATAAAGAAGGCCGTATGGTTTTGTGGTATAGAGACGGTTGAATGTCCGGGTGATCTCAAGACGTTTATCATAAGCCACAAGAACAAGAAATCATCTGTTAGCACAACGTATCGGGTATTATATTCCATACATAGAAGCTATTGTTTTTTTAAAATTTTATCGTTAAAAGTCACATGCTTGCCTAACCGAAATATAATGTATTTATTGTAGGTGTCCCGTAATTACCCAGTCAACACGGTCGAATACGAGTGCAATCTATTCACGTGTTACGGGTATCTATGTCGTCATGCATTTAAGTTTCTAATAAACGATGAAGTTGACAGTATTCCGGACCAATACGTTTTACGTCGCTGGAAACAAAATTTAGTTCCTGTCCAGTTACAATCTGCCAGAGTTCGATACGGTGAGGTGGATGCGGAGAAGGATAAGTACATAATTGATGTATATTCCAAAGTCGACGATATAATAAGCATCGCCCGGAATGATAAAGCCCTATTGTCTAGATTGGAGAAGACTCTCGATAAATTTCTGGTTGATATCGAAAAAGAAGTATCGTATGAAGACCCATCCCAACAAAAGATGGATGCGATCAGAGATCACCTTGGTGTTTCCATACCTGATGACGTTGACATTCTACCACCATCTGGAATAAGGAACAAGGGTTGTGGTACAGGTAAGAGGTTGGTTAGCGTGTATGAGAAAATACAGTCTGCAAGCAAAAAAACCCGTCAAAAATGTGCGACATGTGGCCAACGTACCGGACATGACTCACGCAATTGCCCCGAATTGATAGAGTAATCAGTAATCCGAGTACCGGAATAATCAGAGTAATCAGTAATCCGAGTACCGGAATAATCATCATTTCGGGGGTGCTTCGTTATTGGCAACCTTAAATTTCGTCATGCGCCACTTTTCGGGTTATGTTTTCTTATGATTGGCATACATCGTCTAGTTTTCGTTTCATTACAATTTACATATGTCTTAAGGACTAGTTGTTTTTTCCAAGACTAAGTAATAAAAACACCGTAAGTGCGATGTTCACAATTACCGACAACTGATGTTTTGGTAAGTGTTTTAATGAACAATGTTCAACTTCATTGGACATTGTCATGTTCTTTTATTATTTGGGTATGATTCATGTGTTGACGTTTCTTGTATCCGGAGGGTCTTTACAATAAAACCTTTGTCTTTTGGTTTTCAAGCTTTTGATTCGTTACAAAAAAGTAAATTTAGGAGTTCATAGCGGTTGAATGCAACTTATTTGCGGTTGAAAGTTTCTTGATTGTTATATCGGTCAATGGTATTAATATTTTGGATAGAATTTGTATGTTGTTCGGTTGTATTATTTATGATAGTATGTGTGCTTTAATGTAGACTTTTGAAGTTATGATGTAGTGGTCAATTTACCGTTTCATGGTTTTTATGTTCTCCACAGCAATATAAATGTTACAGACGTGACGCCTTCCCAACTTAGTCTGCTACAACACTACCATCCATTGTCCAAAACAAAGACAATAGCTATTCAACTGCTACTATCATATTTTGATTTGTCATATTTTGATTTTCTTACGGAATTGTTAATCATCATTATAGTCCTTAAGGTTTTACACTACATACATAATAATGAATGTCAACCTGCAATCTATAATAATGAAATAGTGACAGTCGTTGTACATTGTCACGATAACGCAATATAAATTTGTTGAAATCAAACCCATGCAAAATTAAACATCAAAAAAACATTTAATTAATAAAATACGATAAATGTATGAACAGACATGACGTCTGTTTATGTCTGCAAAACGTTACGTTACCACAAATATCCAAAAGGTAGATGGTACAGAAAAACCAGTTAAACTAAATGTTTGTACACAACATAAGCAAACATCTATTTCCTCCCCCGACTCATCTGTCGTGCACCCCGATTTTTCCTAGCATTGTACGATGTCTCCATCGCAATGAACCTTTCTACATCAGATATGATAGATGTCTTACGGATGTTCTCATCGCTTAGTAGCATCTTCAAACAATATATGGTTATGAGATCCTTCAACTGTGTCTTCTGTTTTGTACTCTCCTTATACAACCCGCAGTCCCATTTTACTACGTCTCCTCCGAAGAATGTCTCCATGTGCCGCATTAACATAACACCAGCGTCAACTGTATTCTCGCGGAATTGCCACCTTGTCTTTATATGGTCCTGATCAATTTCAGCGTACACTTTCCACGCCTCGTGTCCCTCTTTTAGTAGGTGCATAATCATCATATCTTGCTGCATACATGATAAAGAATGACAAAGTAAATATATGTCCATAGTGTTCATAACAAAAAGTAATTTTAAGTTGTTGTACCAAGCCTACAGTGCTGGAGCCATATATATCATCGACTTCTCCATCCCGAGTCTGGCTGTCTATTATGGCTATTGATGGGCGCTTGAGATCGAATACTACAACGTAATAGAACGATGGTTCTACTACCGGGAAGAAGACCTACAGTTTTGAAAAGCCGTGTTTGGTTGATACCATTTGAATTAATGCTTAAATATCATACGTACAGTTTCGATCGAATGAAAAACACTTACCAGGTCAACGTTATGCATACTGATCAATTCTTCGTCATTGTTCATGCAACATGTGATGTTCTTTCGGAATCTATCATACCTCTAGTTAGCATTCAAATCTTCATCCCTAATAATAGCATCCATCTGCAAAAAAACAAACGTATACGGTTAATTATAGACTACAATTTATTTATATGGCATTTACGTCGACATTCATTCATATACTATTACCGAAATGTCTGTTGGTACAAAATAGCGCCTAGGAGACTCGTTGCTCCTCAACCTCTCTTCTCTGTTAAGAAGCATTGACCACACATCTATAATTTCTGTGCTAACCACGCTTTGAGATACAAGGGATTGCATTGTCTGACGTGTTATTGCCTTCCCTTTTGTCGTCATGAAAACCGGTTCACTACATGTTTAATTCGTTAGGTAGTACCATCCGAAATGACAATAATACATATTTGACCAAAATATTACTTAAAACGTAGACAATATAACTTACAAAATCCCGCCTACGCCTCGTAATATCCAATCTTGCATCTTCCTTTCATCACTACTCACCTCGAACGTAACCGCACGTGTAACATACGGTGCTCGTAGTTTAAAAATTAGTTTCGGATCTCTTTTCGGAATTTCAGATCTCACATTTTCTTGTCCACCTATTGCTTTCGAACTATCAATACAAGCAATGACCTCTTCCTTTGATGGACTTATTCCCAAATCGAAAGCTGGCGCCTYGATTTCTGCATACGAATCAATGTCTCGGACGTTGATACACGTATGATAGTATCCAATTGAGAAACTATATGTGGATCTATGTTCGTATATGTAATTGTGTACGCGCATTCAAATGGTGTTTATAAAATGCGTGTCATTTGTTTGATATATCACAATGATGTTCTTATACGACATAGTGATGAACTGTGTGTGAGACAATTTGGTACATATGTGTACCTATTCATTATGTGTGAACCAGCGTGAACACGCTATGAACATAACTCCTTCATATATGGGACAAAAATTAACAAACATGAACACGATAAGGTAGTGAATTAGCATCTGGTCATTTTTTTACTTTGTTTGTGTTTTGTTAATTGGTGTTCACAAACATGACCCACCTATGAACCACCATGATCACGATTTTCTTACACAACTTATGAATGAACATTGCGTGAAACACTTTGTTATATACGCCATATCAAGTACTTGTTTGTGAACGTCTACGGAGTTTACTTGTCCGAGGTACACTTTCATCGATGCTTCTGCTTCGAACCCTACCAACACTCTCCAACGGTGCTTCTAACGATGTCATCTTCACCCTTTCCAACAGCTTCGGGTATGTGTTACATCCTACTCCTTTTGTTGCGATAGTAGCCCTCTCATTTGACGCCCAGTCAACCTCGGCAATCACGGTTGGGCTTGTCCAGAATTGTGATAAAGGTGATAACATTACCGGGTCGGATGTGGTCGTCATCTTTGGAGGTGTTACATGAACAAGTGACAATTCTTTGTCTCTAGGTTCACCTTCATCCTTTTGGGACTCCCACATGCTGCCTTTAAACATGCTCGCCAAATCCTGTTTGAATTGGTCGAAACATGTGTCCCCGGGAAAACGTTCTACGTATTCTTGCAACATTGTGTCTGCTTCCTTCCTTGCAGAACACAGCTCCGCGATTCGCTCACCCATCATAATTATGCATTCCTGCAAAACCATGCACAAACTGTAAAGTAGAAAAAACACGTAACAGTGTTGTATGTGCAAGCTGCAAATATAATTAAGTCAAGCTTGTGTGTTTGACGATAACAAGCAGACACCTCTGTATGTTAAACACAAAACGGTTTGATCAACTTTCACATTCAATTGCATGAAACTCGAATTGTGAGTTTTTACACAGCATGTGAACACACATTTACACATCTTGTGAATACATATTGAAACATATTGATGAAGGTTTACACATTTACACATATTGTTAAAATAGGTCAAACAATATGAACACATAACGTCGAAGGTTCACACATTTATACCCACACTTTCACCCAAAAAAAAACAACTTTAACAGCTATTAAGTTCTGAACAACATTACCAGCTGTTAATTTCGTCCCATATAATCATATTTAGTACAACCATGAACAACGTGAACACATTATGAACATAATTTAACAGATGTGCATTTCTGTACGATATGTGCATTTTTTAGTCCATTTATACACCGCCATATACGCCCCTCCAAATTAACGGATCAGCTGTTAACTTGTGTTCATACATTGGCCAAAGACACCAGCATAACATAAGGTAGTATGCACAATCGGAAGGCAGAAGAACATGCAAAAAAAAATTAGACTGAATATGGACAAAGGAGCTGGTATAAGATGAAATGGAAACAACATATTTTTTCTCTATTTCTGTTTATGCGTGTGTGCATAACTCCATCATGATCATAAACTAACACATCAACTCAGAAAGGTAAAAAATATTTAGTAATATGAAGATGTGTAAACATAAGTAGAATATAGTGTTTCTGTTTCATATTAGACACAGATAAAACCAAAAGGCAGTCCATTGGTAATGGCCTATATGTACTTAACTGAAACAGATACAAAAATAGCAGCTGACCATAAGGACATCACCATTCCACGTGTGTGTGTGTTGTGCAAATGCCATTTACTGTTGATGGCTAATCATAGTTGCCAATATCTTGTTGCTGATTTATTTTGATTAGCCGAATCAAAGTTATCGCAGTTGGCACAGGAACTATATTCATCTTATGTGAACATGTACTTTATACCAGTTAGACAAAATATAGTTTGGAATTAGCAATCAAGATACACATCACGAAAAAAACATACCATTAAAGTGTGTATGTGTGTGTGTGATAATATCAAAGCATATGCACCTTTTCATTTGAATCAGTTTATTGAAGTTACCTCTTTAGTCACATTCTGATTTTCTGCTTCTTTGGCTTTGCTAGACTCAGGTCTTTCCTCTGCTGTGTGATGATCTACAACTGTTTGATCATAAGCTCCTCGCTCAACGGGTTTAGTACATTTCATTTTTGTGTATCCAAACCCCCCTCTGCTAAGCTCCAAGTCTTGTCTTCTCCTCAGTAAATCCAATGTCCAAGTTCTCAATGGATATGATTGTTGTTGGTTCTGAATGCCGTCACATGTTGTTGCTTGAACATATAACATCTGGAGAAAGTAAACATAGCAATTGATTAAATAATAACAAACA